AACAAGAACTTTGGAATTTCTAATTCCCTATCCAAAAGGAATCTCTTTTCTACCAGGACCAGCCTCTGGCTGTAATATGATTACCTGGCACGTGACTGCGTATCAGTTCTCCATTTCACAAAGCAGGTAAACACTGCAATACTCGGTACTGCATAAAAGCAGTTTGTTTACACACTCTTTAGTCGTGTTGCACCTACACAAAATATTCACTGGTTCGCTGCAGCGGGCATTGAAAAGGAACCTATCCAACAGCCTCACGCTTTAAACAAAAATTTACATCAGGAAAAGCCAGCCAGCTGAAAGTCTGCCACTCTTTACACTGCCGTGGCACCCAAGCTGGCACGCAGAACACGCGAACTCGGCCATCTCCTCTAAAATCACCTTAGAGCATCCTCACATCTAAGTTACTTACAGTAATTGTTTGCTGAGTTTTCAGCATCTTGACATAGCTTTTGGCTATCTCCTCTAAAATCACCTTAGAGCATTCCTCACGTCTAAGTTACTTACAGTAATTGTTTGCCGAGTTTTCAGCATCTTGACATAGCTTTTGGCTTTCTCTGGACACCTCATGGCTTGCCACTTTGGAGAAAGAGTTTGCGGGAAGAAGCACTTGCTGGTAATTCTGTCTGGTCACTTCTGATCCAAAATTAATGGATGCACATAAAGGTAGGGAAGGGCAACACGTCACAATTTTTGGTGTGTCTACATCTTCACCTTCCTTCAGAAATGTAACAGCAGTCTAAAACTGAGTCTCACACAGGAACTATCCACTCCAACACACACTGATTCTCCCTGCTCTTCTGCGATGTGCGCTGAGGTCGGCTGGGTAAGTATTCCGGGATCCTCGGCAGCTGCTACTTCTATGCGAATGCAAAGGGAGAGAAGGAACACTTCATCATTCGTCAGTTGGTACAAGAGGTCCTTATTCCAACAGTATTGCAGGGCACAAGGGAGATCAGGGGCTTTATCATTACCCGTGTCACACACGAGACGGACTGCCTCAGCATTAACTACCCCCTTTATCATTTTTATACCAGCAGGAATTCCTCCTGAGGAAAGGAATTCACAGGAACCCCACGTTTTGCCAGGTAAGAACACGACGCCCAAACCCAAACCTACCTGCAACTTCTTCCTCTGAAAGACAACTCAAGGCGTTTTGAAAAAAGTTATTTATTTTCATCGCTTTAATCTCTCTACTGTAGTGTTAGCACTTAACATAAGCATCCACTCTCCTACTGCCCTATTTACAGTCCATCGAAATGTATACTCTACAAATACAATACATATTTTCAGAAATGTAAGGGAAACGCACAATTTTTTAAGGTTTAAAAAAGTGACACTCATCTGTACAGGATCCTCAAATCATCCAAAACGTCCAATTTACAAGGCAGTATCCACACAGCTATGAAATGGCAGGTGCTACAGTGACAAAGCAGCAAACTTGCTAATACAATAAAACACAGGAAATTAAAGTGTTTGGGGGCACCAGAAAATACGTTTAGTACCGCTGAAGTTGTAAATTTAGCAATAGCCATATTTCTAGAAACGTGTAACTGCAAACTCGGAGAATGTTCTGAAAAATATTAAACATTATATACACATGAGGTAAATGTACCTTGGTCTTTTAAGAGGTAATTCGAGTTTAAAGCAACTGATGTGGTGAAGTTGTTTTTGTGTTGGTTTTTTTTTTTTTTTAAACACACAGTGATTAACACCCTGCAATCGTTTCAATGGCACAATATGAACAAGGAACTAACTAAAAGGTGAATTTCATGGCAATCACTCAGAACCATTACTGAAAAAAATAAAATAGCCTCTTATTTCACATGACACCTTCACGTCCCCATACAGTCACTCCCAAAGTCTTTACCCTATTTACAAAGTCTTTCTTAGGATTACAGCTGGAACCATTGGAGGGTGACAGCGTGTCATACTTGGAAAGTCAGCTTGAGAAACATCCCAGAATTCCAGCTTTTAAGGTTGGAAGGTCCCTGAAGAATTCCAGCATTCCAAAAACATGTCAGGCTTTTCAGCATCAGACCATTTCCATCCAATGCTCCTTATTCTCCATGTCCATACCCACCTGGTCACAAGTCTGTAAACCAAACTGAAGCTTCAATGCTACTAAAACGTCCAATTGATGAAATCCACAGAATTTAAGTGAACGTGTCATGTATGTAATATTTACAATAAACATTTGCATCAGTCTTCATCAGAAACTGTTTTGGTATATACTTGAAATGATATAAAATTAATATTTTGAATGCTAAAATATTTTGGTCCCCTTGGATTTCCAAGAGCAGATCTGGTGATATTACAATCTTAATTTAAAAAATACTTATGTCTACCTGTGTCCATATAGAGAAGATATGACCTTACACAGGTAACATTTAAAGTTACAGAATATATACAGACACAGCCTTTGTAAAAGGTGTTCAGTTTATATAATGGAAAAGAAGAACAAAGCTTCAAGTTGTGGTGTCAGAACTGAGGATATATACGGCTCTACTTGGAATTTTCCTCTCCTGCATGCCAAAATGAATAAGGTTGTCCCAAAATAACGTTCCTACTGTCATGCACTGCCTCGGGCTTTCTTCCTGCGCTTTGTTTTTGCAAGGTTCTACTACAACGTGAAAAATTACAACAACCTAAGAGTAGTTGACAGCACCTGAGGAGAACCAAGACTGGTAGGTTAGAGACAGATGTAACAAACCAGTACGCAGCTGACCGAAGAATCTGCGTGCCACTATGCCCTTCAGCTGCCGTAGATTTGCTTGTAAGTGCTGCTCCTTATGTTTTAGGAAAACGCACGTTATGGTGATAAGGTTTTGTAGGTGCTAAAAAAAGCCACCAATGAAATTATTTGATGAGTTATACTGGAAGCTATCTCATGTTCCCATCAAGATTACCACAGAGATCTGAAGAGTGCCAGTACCCTGGTGATGCTAAAGTATGAACTGTATAATCTGTATCTATGGTTAAGGTCCAGGCACATCTACAAAAACCTCAAAATTTAACAAAGCCAACGAATTGTTTAAATAGGAAGCCTTTGAAATCAGTACAGAGACACAGTAAGTTCTACTTAGATGCTGACCTGTTTTCTTTAAATATTTGTCTTGATAAATGGAACTAGTACAGAGACACAGTAAGTTCCACTTAGATGCTGACCTGTTTCTTTAAATATTTGTCTTGATAAATGGAACTTGTTAGAGGCATGCCACGTAGATAGACTTGGGAGTTTAGTTCTATTCAACCACTTTCCAGCAGGAGTAAACTCATCCACAAAGGTGGGTAAATAAAGCATTTTATTACTTGCAGCTTGACCTCGGAAGATCTGTAATTCTCACATTATTCAAACCCACCACGAAGAATTTGGAAACCACAAGAGGCAGCCAAGATAAGGCTCAGCACTTCGCCTTACGCCACCTGCACCGCCTCTTCCTATTGGGACCCATCCCCTTGGCTGCTCTCACTCCCACGGGCCACAATCTTGGCTCTGCCTCCACCAGCAACCCCCCGCCACTGCTGCCGGCGCAGTGCAAAGCTCCAGAGGGCCGTACGCCGGAGAACCAAACGGAAGCAGAGTTAAGGCTGCCGTGCGTGTCACGTAACACGACGGATGCTGACGCGTCTGGAGAGCAGGAGGTTAGGTGGCATATTCGTCACCAGGCACATCCTGAAATACTGCTGACCATTAATGAAACCAAAGGGCAACCAGACTCTAAAACTCCAGTTCAAAAAAACCAACAAACCATCCTGGTAGCAGCAGTTGTTTGAAGACAATTTTCCAAATGAACTCCCCCGGTCCCCTCCAGAAGTTGTATATTTGGGCAGGAAGCAATTCAATTTCTAAACAAGTTTGTGAAAACCTCGGGACATCCTTAAGATCTCAGGCAAATCTTGACATGTTCTTCTGACACCACCAGCCACCGTACGCTTTGTCCTCGTAACGATGACGAGGATTGCTGGAATCCTCTGGTATTTGTATCCAAAGACCTGCAGCTCACCACTTTCTGTGCATGAGGCACACACAAAATACACGCACATAAAATTTATAAGCAGCTTTGAACTTTCTAGTACAAAAGCCCAAATAACTTCTCCTTAATTACAGGTGCACTTAATCCTTGTTTAATTGTGAATATTGTTCTTTGAGCCTGAAGACTCTGCAGAACTGCACAGAAAATACGCTTTTCGGATGTGATTTAATGGAGCAAAATCTCCCTTAAGAACATCTTGCTCCTCTTGCTACTTTTCTGAAGTAGATAGGTACTTGAAGCATTTTAGAAGTACCACTTGATTAATCTGATATATAATTATGACTCATGACTTGACAATTACAAAATACGACAGTGAATTAACTAGCTTACACTATTTAAAACTCTTACAGTGGTTTAAGGAGTCAGATTTTGGTAAAATTGAAGGTATTCCATGAATTACGTATTCACTTGCTGAAATGAGTGTGAATTAGATCCTAGCTAGGCAAAGGAACAGTTGATTTTTAACTTGTATTTTTGAAACCAAAGTACCATAGGCTTTGTACGCTCCTACTGGTTTCCATTAAAAGACTCAGAAGCGGCACTTACTGGTGTGATACAATCTATTTTGAAGGCAAAGCGATGTTCTGAAAAAGTGGGAAAAAAACCCAGTAATTATGTATAAAGTATAGTTCCCACAACTGAATGAGGTCAATTTGTAAATCAAGGAGAGCCCAAAAGATGGACTACCTTCGTAGCTAGCCCGCTCCAACGGCACACTCACACTCTGAATCGGAGAACGGCGGCGGGCGTTCAGAACGGTCAGCGTACCGGCCAGGAACGAAGCTGCTCAACCATTGCACTCCAGAACAATGTAGTGAAACCAGCTCTGTTTTAGAAGTGACCTCCTGTTTCTAGCACAGCCAACAAGAAGTTGAGACCAGCTATCGACTTTCCGAATGAAAAAATGAGAGGTTAATCAAAATAAAACTAGACTACACAATGCTTTGTAGGTAACCTGGGAAAGAGGTTCGTAGTGCACAGAAAGGACCCAACACAACTGTTTAGCACGTCCACAAAAATCCTAGTAAGTGACGTTCCTATGAAGTACTACAAGGCAGCAATATCCTTCTGTTCCCCCGCTGAGGTAGAACAATTGACCTTCTCAACTCGCCACTCCGGCGCAGACAGAGATTTTTACAGTGTCCTTCGGCAGCGAATCCAGGATCACATCTTTATCCCCTCCTGCTGACTCAGTTGCGACAAGGTTTTCTTGATGCGCAGAGCCGTTAGCCTGGCGGCTCCGTTGGCGTACCAGCATTCCCGCATAATCTTTGCCATTACTCGGAGTGCCTGCAAAGGGAAGGCAAGTAATTACACGTACTGTTGTACCTACTGTTCCGACATAGCCCATGTGGCCTCTGTTCTGCCTCTTCATGCGTTTCTGAAGCCTGTTACTAGCACTAGTAACTGCATGGAAAAGCCTGTTGTATAAAACTCGCAAATTCTTGGCTTTTTTTACAGAAAAAAAACCAAATCCTTTTAAATACTGTAGAGCAGAACTAGTATTTCTCAGTAGAATTTCAGCCCATGTGAAAATATTTTAATGAAAAATTCGTAGCTTGTCTGTGACTGTTTTCTGAATATTTGCATTACACAAAAACCTACTCTTTTTCCATGTCACTTCCAGTTGAACAACAGCAATAAACCAGGAAGTACTCTGTATTAGCACGGAAGTACTGGGTAGCGGGGAATGTAATCACTTCCTTCGGTCACAAGTTGCTTCTCAAGGAGTTAGTTCAACGCACAGCAATTCAGAAGTTTATCAACTATCTTCCTCAAACTGAAGCTCTGTGCTGACTCTGGAAAATCCTGAAGTCTTTTTGCCCTTCAAATAGCCATTCTTTGAAATCCGTGAATGCTACTACGCGAGTAACAATGCAAATAACAAAAGCTGCGGATGAAATACAGAACAGCTCTACATCCCAAGATTTTGTACTCAAAGCTGGATTACACCGAGCTGCCAAGTCAATGTGTGGGATGGGAACGGCAGCATTTACAAAGCAACCCTACAGTCTGTGGGTGCATATCATTGCCTTTCTCTCCAGTCCTCACCCATGAGTTCGTTTCACACACAACAGCCCCGTTCCCTCTTAAATCATATCTCAACATCCTACCGTAGCCTATCACAGCCGTTCTCCCAAGCTCTGAACTGGGAAGCACTGCTTAGAATCACAGAATCCAGCCCTAGCTGGGTTCCTAGAGCGAGCAATATTGACCAGAGGGGGCTGGAAAGGCCAGAGGCTCGCTGCCAGGCACACTTCTGCCCCGTGCAGTGACTACCAGCATAGAGAACTCACTCCAGAATCAGGTAAGCACTTCCACAGAGGCATGGTCACGAGTGGTCGCTACACCCACGCTCCAGCTCTAAACCCATGGCTTACCAGAGTTTCAGCTTCCTAATAACCGTGTTCATCTTGCCCTAAGTGCATTCAGCACAGGTTCTGGAGACACACGAAATACTAAGGCCACCACAGTTTTGGAGAACTCATACAGGTGTTTCCTACTCTGGCTCGTCAGTAGGATGCTGCTTGACGACACAAGGATAGGGCAAAGACCTCTCCGAGCTGGCAGAGCACCGAGCCGAATCCACCCAGTCTGCTTCCTGAAGGAGATCACCAGCCTCGCCACAAACCAGCGGGCACAGCCCTCATCGGCTCCTGTGTCTTTGCCAGCCCTGCGGCGGGTTAACCCAGCCCAGCAGGCAGCTGAGCCCGCTCAGCCACTCGCTCACCCCCCGCAGCGGGATGGGGGAGAATCAGGAGGGCAAAAGGGAAAAACTTGTGGGTCGAGATACAGACAGTTCAACAGGCAAAGGGGGAAAACCAATCAAAGCAAAGAAAAACAAGTGATACAAAACCAATTGCTTACCACCATCTGACTGATGCCCAGCCAGTCCCTGAGCGACAGCAACCCCTGGAAAACTGCCTCCTGCCCCGGCTGACTGCTGAGCATGATGCCGCAGGGTATGGAATATCCCTCTGCTCAATCCCTCTATCCCTTTCAGCCTCTTGTCCACCTCCAGCCTGCCCAGCAGTACGGAGTGGGGCAGAGGGAGACCTGGAGAAAGCCTTGAAGTGTGTAAACACTGCTCAGCCACAGCTGAGGCATCCGTGTGCTACCGAACTGGTTTGGTCACAAACCCAAAACACAGCACAGGCTACTACGGAGCAAGTTGACTCAGTCCCAGCCAGGCACAGCACAACCCCCAGCTGCACCATTTATTTGCAATATTTCCTGTACAATGTAATTCAGACTATCTTTCATTTACGTTAGCATCACCTGTACCCCACAGGAAGCGATCCCAGAATCCTCCACGCAGGTTCAGCTATTATTTTTTTGGGCAATCGCATTCAATATTAACGTATAACCAAGGATCAATAACATTAAATAAAGCCACAATGATCAGAATGAAATCAAGCTCTCCTAGAAGCAACCTCCTCCCTTCAACAAGTACAATTTTTAAGCCACTGAACTCCATAAAAGCTCTGGTATCCATGAAAGCAGCTTTAGCAAGGTTAGTTCCTACCTCACAGCTCTGCCATCTGTTTGGAATATTGGGTCTTAGCTTCTGCTCACACACAACTTTCCTCATTTCTTCAACAGAGGGATCTGAGGGAACGAGGTCGTAGTACGGCAACTGGTAATCCTCGTGAATTCCTGTACAGGTCGGAAACAGCTTTATTTTAGCTACCATGAAGTTACATGTTCTTCACTTTTGACTGTGTTCCTTATCAGTACCCTACCATTTTATTCTTTCATTTTCACTTTTGAAAATTGCATTGTAATGACTGACAAATAAGTAAAGAATCCTTAACTGTACCTTAGGAGTGTTCACATTACCCTCGAAGAATTTTAATTTTTGAAATTTATACATTTGGAAGAGATGGAAGCTAAGCCAAATCTTTCATATGCTATACTGAAGACATGGTTCTTGGAAACATATGCTTTCTAATAGCATGTTTTGTTTTAAAGAAGGTATGGAAATTATCTGAACAAGTTACAGCTAGCCCTTATTGTGGCATTTGCCTTGCTCTCAAGGACATTTAATTTCCATCTTCTCCCATCTAAGCGAAGGTTTTAGAAAGAAATTACCATAGACAAGGACATTTCCTATTTTCTTCAACAGGTACGGTCAATCAGTTTACAAAGAGGTCAAATAAATCAGTCATCATCTACAGGATTAACAGTTAGAAAGTCTGAGACATACTGGCTATGACCCTGCGCTGGTTTTAGAGCAAACTGTTTACTCAAACTTGTTCAGGCTCTGCAAGTCACTTGTAACTGCTTAGTATGTCCCATTTTGGAAAGATTGCCACGTACCACCGATTGAACATCGCCGAGCTATTTCCCAAAACACTAATCCCATTGCATAGATGTCTGCTCGTTTGAATGACTCAAAGTGTTTCATGTTTATGGAATCATCTAGAACTTCAGGTGCCATGTACCTGTTTGCGACAAAAAAAAAGAAAAAAGGTTTAATTCCATAAACACTCACTGTAGAGAACGTTCAGTGCTACTGATCAGCTTATAACCAAATTTCAGTATTTATGTGGAAAAGGAGACAAAGGAAAACCTGCTTCGTTAAGGTTATCCAATGAAAGATCTTTCAGTGCAAAGGGGATAGCAAGTAAACTGAGAGGAACAAATGAAGGAATCGGGGAGTAAGTAAAATGTGAAACGATACACAGAGCCATAAATCCGACAGACACAGGGTAAGGGAGACGCTGACAAAGACCAGAAGTCTCCAGTGGCCAATTGATGGGCTACCAAGAAACTCCAGGCATAGCTTTGGAGAGGGCCAGTTCAGACATCATAACTGCTAATAAGTAGGAACCAAGAGAAACAGGAGGATGGTGGATCCCCAAGGTAGGCCTGTTGGGCTGTGGAATGTTACCAAGGAACATTTAGGAGAAGGGCAGCCGGGAGGCACAAGAGTGGGGCGACAAAAAAGGACATCGGAGGGGCCAGCTGCACGGCCAGCTGCCAGTCACCGTGCAGCACTGTTGAGGATTCCTTGGGAACAACGGCTCCCTACCATTGCAGTAACTCATTTTTCACCATAAACCACGCCAGGAGCTTTTTTTTGTTTGGAACAGTTACACATTAACAACAGTGTTCACAAGAACAGTTTATTTTACCAACATTTCCCGCCGCAGAAAAATCTGTGACAGATTAAACTGAGAAGCAGGGACTGAGCTGGCCACGGCATGACTGTGACCTCGTTGAGTGACCAGAAACATCACACAAAGTGCCAGCGCTGGACCGTGCTGCGGGAGCCCCCACCGCATCGCCGCCGGGCAGAACGACTGCGGTGGTACCGCGCTCTCAGCCTGGCACAGCTCTGGCAGCTAAACCCCACGTGCAGGGTGTGGCAGAGGTCTCTCCACGGCACTGCCCCATCAATCTCAAGCTGACATGCCAATGAAGCAGGTGAGAAGGACACCAGAGCTTTGGGGAGAGCACAGTTAGCTGGTAGGACAGCAACACACAGAAATTCCTGGAGTGAAATACAGTGCCGGGTGACAGCTCAACCTCGGGAACAGCCACAGCAGCTCTACACAGTTTCATTTCACCAACATAACACTAGGATTTTCTTTTCCTAGTGTCAGGGGTGGTAGGCAGAACGCCAGATACACTACTGAAATAAATTGCAGGACTATCAGACCTTTCAGAACACAGCACTGCTGTGTCTTACGGACATGACATACAGCCAAGGAAGTAAGGGCTACCAAAAAAAAAGAGCAAAAACGCAACCAGTAGTCCAGGACTTCCCCAAGGGCTGCTGACAAGAGTTCTTAGCACTTTACAGGCATATAAATCCCCCACGAGCAGAGGACAACTGTCTGAAGAGGAACATCAGGTTTACTCTCACAGTGTTTACTGAGCGGAAGAAGAGTCTTAAGTTGACACATGTCACAATCTGATATAGAATCACAGAATCGTCTGGTTGGAAGAGACTCTCAAGATCGAGTCCAACCATTCACTCTGCACTGTCAGGGGCCCTAAACCATGTTGCTCAACACCAAATCCACACGGTTTTTAAACACCTCCAGGCATGGGGACTCCACCACCTCCCTGGGCAGCCTGTTCCAATACTTCACAACCCTCTCTGGAAAGAAATTCTTCCTGATATCCAACCTAAATTTCCCCTGGTGTAACTTGAGGCCATTCCCTCTCGTCCTGTCATTCCTAACATGGGAGAAGAGACCGACCCCCATCTCCCTACAACTTCCTTTCAGGTGATTGTAGAGAGCGAGAAGGTCCCCCCTGAGCCTCCTCTTCTCCAGACTGACCAGTCCCAGCTCCCTCAGCCGCTCCTCATTGGACAAGTTCTCTAAACTCTTCACTAGTTTCGTTGCTCTTCTCTGAACCCGCTCCAGCACCTCAACGTCCTTCTTGAACAATGCTCAAATTATTCTGGGCCACTATCAAAAACTTTTTAAATAAGAATGCAAGATTGTAGTGGGTGCTTTAATGCTCTTCAAGGATTTCACATTGTTGGATAATCTTCTTATGCTACTCCATGTACTTGGCAGTATAGTGATCAGCTTTGGGTCTAAAGATAAATGAAACATTCTGTCTTCAAGATCACATAGGGATGAGAAGAGTGATGGAGCTGGAAAAACACCGAGCCAAAAACCCTGACTGTGTTGCAAGACTGTCAGTCAGAATCACCAAAACAAGCACTAAACGAGACTGTCTGTTTCTGTAGATCATCCCAAGGACAAGTGCTTTAACAGGAAAGACCATAAAAGGCGTGAATGTGGCAACGGAGCTGAATTCATACTGTCAAAAGAAAAAAATTCTCCCCCCAAAACGTGACTTCCATTGAATTTATTGGCAAATTGACCTCTTACCATGATCCTCCACCAATGCATTTAGATTGGCTTTGGCTTCCATAACTCAGAATGGTGACTGACTGCTCAGAAAGTCTGAGAGATTATTGCTGGGCCAAGACAGGCAGAGGGCAGTAGGTCACCTAGTGCGGAGAGTAGGTCGGCCATCCCATGGCTATCAGACAGAGGGGAGAGGAACGTGCATCTCCTTGTCAGCTCACCTATCGGAAATGCATTGCTTGTCAGAAACAGCACCTTAGGTGGGAGAGAACTACTCTACATAGACTAACTTTGACCTTCTGAACAAGGTCTGCAGCGTGGTATTCTCCAAGAACAAAAGGATAAGTCTACAAGGAAGTTTACAAATTATGTTGACGTAGCCTTGCCAAACTTTGGGTGCCCACTGACCTCTTTCCCCAGCCTTCTGGTCCAAAAGCTCTCTATTAGCTGCCTAAATTCCTTGTACAACATGTAGGGAGCTTGGTGTCAAACAGAACCCACACACAACATTTTGAGTGTGAACTTCATTATCAAAAACTAACCAGAGGTGCAGAGCTACTCACCGAAGAACACACAAGAGGGAGGAAGAGGGGACTAAATCTTTTATGAGAATAAATAATTTTCAGAGAGCTAGAAGTGACTCATGTCTTCTGCGCAGGAAGAGAGGTTGTAAGTGGGATCTACAGACACAGCTGAAAGGATGCTTCCTCCAAAGGCTAAAGAAAGTGACTGATTTGCACATCATTTTTCTTTGCACGGAGGTGTAGTAGCAAATACTAAGTCGCACGTGGTATGTGCCATGCACACAGCTGAGTTCCCAATGACAAATTCCAAAGCAGTCTGCTGGTTTACTACCAATGATTGATGGAGACTTGGAAAACGAATAATGTCCAGTACTTTGAAATCTAGTAGCAGTCCAGAAAATAGATCTCATCTAACCATTTGTGTGGTATCTTTAAAGCTGGCAAAGGACAAGTACAGTAGAGCTTTAGAACACAGTAATTTCAGCAATATAACTGTCAGTAAAACTAATTTTCAGGACATGTTCTAAAAGCTTTTCCTCATTGAGCCTTAAAAGGAAATTTTTTTTTTTCCTTCCAAAAAGCCACAGCTAAATGGGGGCATCCTAGTTCACTGTAAAACCCCAGGCACACCCCTGTCCTCCCCTGCAGTAGCACTTCCTAAAGAGCCAGATGAAAATTTTGTGTATGGATTGGAGACTGGACAACATCACCACAGGATTTTCACTACAGCATGTGCTGAAGTTAATCGTGTCCAACCCTGAACCACTGGGCTCCCAGAGCTTTCTCCATGCCAGGCACACAAGCCTCAGTCTGACACACCACTGAACCTACAGACAGCAGAGGGACAAAACGGCCGCCCACGCCGCACAGCTCTTGCTGCGGTTCAGTTAGTGCTGCTCTCTCTGTAGGTGCACCGATTACGAAACGAAACCAAGCTTCTCTTCAGAACAGCTTCCAGTTGTTATTGTCTGAAGGTCTGGTAATGACAAATTACAGCCAGTCAGTCTAATTGCACTTGTGCTGGAGTTCAACAGCCCTGACTGCTTTTCAGGACAAGAAAAATCTGTATTTTCAAACGCAGAAGTAGGCCTTCAAAAGAAAGGCAGTATACCAACTCATCCATTGATAGTTCTATTTATGCATTAGACAACAAAGCTGACTGCTCTCAAGTCCTCATGTTTCTCTCAAAAGTACCATCCCATGAAAGTCTATGTCCAAGGGTCAACATGCTTTTGAAGTACCTACTGTCTAACTAAATTACCAGCTGGCAAGGAAGTGCCCAGGAACTCTACCTGCCACTATTTACATTTTCCTGCTGCTTGTGTTTGTACCCAAGAAACCTTCTGTATTGGACAAGAAAAAAAAAAAATAGGTGTTTTATGATGAAAAAAGTCACCTGAGCCATCACGTTCCTGATTTTACCTTTTTGTTCCCACTCTGTGGTTTGGGGCAATATCAATTGTGTCCGTAGCTGAATCGTGCCTGACCGCCAGTCCCAGGTCTGCAATGCAGCACGTTCCGTTCTTTTTTACCAATATGTTTTTTGATTTCAAATCTCTGTGGGCAATTGCTGGTTTGCCTGGAAGAGGAAAAAAAACCCAGAAATAACACATCTGTAAAAATGCCTTAAATGTCCACCATATTGCTCCACTCTACCGCTCCTTTGAAAGTATTTCTTGCATACATATAGGAATTGCCACAAAAAAAGTTTCTAATATGTTTGGAAACAGATCCATGGCGCTGTTTTCGAAGACAAGACAACACTACAGGCACTATTACTTAGTGCCTTTCACCAGGTGTTTCGTAGGAAGGACTGTTACATTACAAATCTTGGATACGCCATAGAAAGGAGGGTAAAAAAAAAACCTTCCAAATTAAGAAGTTCTGTTAGTTCAGAAGTTCTTGCAGGTCCCAAACAGACGTTTTTTGATTCACTCAGCTCCACAGAGCATTAACGTGGGGTTCTGTGCTGAGTTCAGCTGCTTCCTCATCACACAAAATATTCTAATTAAGAGAATTATGGTATAAAGAGCTACATATGTGCCGTTTAAAAAAACCCAGTAGCATCCCCACGACAGATGAATAGTTGTAAGGTTACCTTGCGTGCCAACAATTTCCATGTGGAGGTGAGCAAGACCACTGGCAGTAGACAAGGCCAACTTTATCATCCCTTCCACTGTTACCGTGTACCTGTTCAGGTAATCAAAGAGTGACCCGTGCTCGTGATAGTCTGACACCAACCACAGCTGAGTCCACGTACCATTGTCTGTAAAACAACACTGGCATGAATACCCCGCACACCCAGACAAGCAAACCACCCACGTTGCTTTTGCACAACCCTTACCAAGCACGGATTCTGGTTGGCAAGTCACCTCAGCCCATTAGACTCAAATCTTTACTTCCATCTGGCCTCAGCCTGGGAGACAATTTCCACAGTTACCAGCAGCTGGTGGATTTTTCCTCCTGGAGCTGAAGCTTGCAAGCAGCTTCATTACTTCAGCATCCATTACTTCAAAACCAAAACCAATTCCCCCCTCTGGTGACCTCTAAGTTGCTGGCCAAAACTGAGGTGTGCGGGAGGCAGAAGGGTCAAGACAATGAACAACACTGACTATGAGAAAACCAGTTTGCTGTACGATTTTCCACTGAACTGTGAAGAACAAGACTGGCATATATCCCAAGGCATACAAAGGACAGGTAAGAACTAAATTCTTCACACTACTAAACCAGTGGACACAGAAAAATACCTTGAAGTTTAAGCCACAGAGAAAAGACTATTAAAGGAATTAAAATTAAGAGGGGGGCAAAAGTTTGTTGGTTTTTTTTACTGAATAAGTGGAAATATACCCAGAAAAGAACAATCCTGCCACCAAGTAGGTTCTCCAATTTTATTTTGTTATAAAAGCAACTCATGTGGCAGATCTGAGAAGTGTTTTTATAGCTAACTGCTTTCGTAGAAGAGTGACATCTCTTCAGGAGACTAGCTATCCCCAGAAAAGATTTCAGTTGGACTTCTATCCTGAATTACGCAGCTGCTATTCCCTACGAACCAGTGAGAAAACGGCACGAGCAAAGGAGATCCCATCATGTGGTAGTCCTTAAGTATTATCCAAAGGCACACTCAAGAACTACACATGAAGAACAGGAGGGAGATAAGTGAATTCAGAAGTTAGTTCCCATCATAAACATTCGGAAAAATTTTTAGTTTTCCAAGAGGAGGTTCTATTTCCTTCCCCTCTTCCTCCACACCCCTCAAAGAACACACCTGGCCTGGAAAAGTCAGAGGCACAAAACGCCTGATCTAAGGACCAACAGAAACTTTTCACCTTTTATGTAAGTACTTGTGCTTATCTTTAAATAAGCACTTGGCTGCGGGTGGGAAACCTTTCGAGCATCCCTTCTACTTGGATAGAATCATGGAATGGTTTGGGTTGGAAGGGACCTCAAAGATCACCCAGTTCCACCCCCCCTGCCATGGGCAGGGGATGTTTCTAGGGAGACCAGCAATGCCATTAAAAATAATTTTTAAAAAATAATTTAAAAGCCACCAAATGCTTCTGAGCAGGGAAATAAAATTCTCATCCACATTCAAAGAATCCTCATAATAAAGAGAATTCTGCCTCACTACACCCACAGAATAGCCTCAGCTGTGGTTTAATTTAATTTAAACAGGCAAAAGCAAGCAGTCCAGTGCTCTAACCTGCAAGATTGTGAAGAAAGCTGCTGTTGCAGTGGGAAGCAGCTTATAATATGCCCACAGAAGTGACTCCTAAGCTTTGTTTTTTAAAAGGAAAAAAGAAAAATCAAAGATTTCCTTTTTAAAACATCTTCAATTATTTTATAGTTAGGGCTGCTCCTTCTTTTGCTACTTGGCATGCACGAGCATGAACTCGTACAACTTCACATACTGTTAAATGTGACTCTTTCCAAAGAGAATCATGGACTCTGAAAAGTCAATCCCCCAGTATTAGCTTCATTGACCCAGTTTTACAGACCCATTAGAAACAGGTACGTGTTGAAAGGCATTTAAAAGGTGCTCTCAAACACATACAGGCAAAGAGCTCCAAAAAGCTGTAGAAGTTCAAAATAAACTTAACCAGTTAAGAGTATTCTTTTCACTCAGTTTTATTCTACTGTTGCACCAGTTATGACCCTACATTGCCTGCAATAATTCTCTCCTGGGCATCACCACCACACACACTCCTTGCCTGATCCTGTGTTTGATTTCTTCCCGTGTTTCTTATGAATGGGACACCTCAGCAGGTGTCTAAACTAGAGGGAAATCATGCTATTAAAGAGTCTACCGGACCTGTTGTGCTTAAATCCATCTCTGAAAGATGTCACAAAGTTTCTGAAGAACTTTCACTGCTTCGAATCAAGGTTACAATGTCTTTGCATAAAGTTTTTCCCCTCTTAACTCTAGGTGCCCACCTACGAAGAGAACACGCTGCTGATTACAGACCCTTCTTCATCAGTTTTATCTTATTTGTTACCTGTAAGTCTTAATATTCAGTCTGGTTTTCCCTTCCTTCCGAAGGAGAAAATAAAAAGCTAGGCTTACTATCCATTCCAAAAGGAGCCATGATTCTTCCCTGTTGTATGTTATGTTTGTGACCCTCCAACCAGATTTTGGAGATGGGACAGCGTTACATCCAAACTTACATGAGTAATATTAACTATATTAAAAATTATTGAACAGGTTGCCCAGAGAAGTTGTAGATGCCCCATCCCTGGAACTGTTCAAGGCCAGGTTGGATGAGGCTTTGGGCAACCTGGTGTAGTGGAGGGTGTCCTTGCCCATGGCAGGGGGGTTGGAACTGGATGATCTTTGAAGTCCCTTCCAACGCTAACCATTCTATGATTCTAATTATAATATATCAATAATGATTAATATTAATCACAGACGAGCTGAAACGCAGCAACAAGTACAACGTCAAGCTCTCAGATGGCTCCTACCAGGTTTTCTTTCCCTTGCTACGTTTGACAAGCTCACGTTCCTTCAGTGATCCAAGCAGGACACGTTAGGAACAACTGAAGTCTTCTTAGACCGTTGACAGTAGTTAATTATTACCAAGTAATAATTAACCTGACCCTGAGTGGTTTTGGCTGCACAGTAAACAGCATCTGCCACGATGCCTTCAATCACAGGATTTGCATTATCAGGTAATAAAAAGTAATTCCACTCAGTAGTAATTCCATACAGTAGCATATCCTTCTGTGATAAGGCAGTCTAATTTAGCTCACACACACGCCGCCATCAAGAATTCCGGGCGATTTCAGAATCATCAAGAAATCACAGAAATTGACCTACGTTCTTCGAAACCTACTGAAGAGATTCATTACGGTTATTTTGTCTGTTTGCAAAAAACCTGAAGTATTTTAGACCATCGAAATCACTCAGGAGTAAAAAAGGTTTTTCTTTCGCAGTTCTAACAAAATCTGAAATTCTGAGTGAAGAAACTTCCAGAATTGTTGTCAGAAGACTCATTACAGTTTGAGAAAAACATTAATTAAGTCCAAGCAACATCCACCTTAGACAAGCTGCCTCTTGGAGAAAGGAATTTCTAACAATTGCTTTATCAAATATATAATCCAGTTTCAATTAAAATTTAATTGACTGAATTAACATAAGTGAAAAAAATGGTCTGTTCACATTGGCACCATTAAAACAAAAATTTGGACTTAGCGCACGCTTGTTTTTAAAGCCAATGCCAGGTTTTAAGGTGTGACAGTACTGCTTGGTACAAGAGTTTTGAACCCAAATTTACGTTCCAAGCTGAAGGTTTAGAAGCTACAGAAATTGCCTAATTGCGTGTTTTCTCTAGCACCATGCAGTAAAGTGTTTCAAGGAGAGTGGGATACATCAGCCTTTCCTGGCATGCAGATAAAGTAACAGAAAAAAACAGAAAAAAGCAGTGAAGAGATGAGATATAGATGGCATCTATAACTAGAAAACTTTTTGAAATTACATATTTGGGGAGATGTCAAGGAAAACATCTGTTTCCGTGGCTAGAAGACGACTGATACTTTATTAGTGAAAGAGCTTGAGTCCATCACATTGAGACAGACATCTGATCAAACCAGTGAAAAGCACTGGAGCTGTATAGATCAGCAAGATCTTCCAGTCAAATTCCTCCTTCTCAGGGTGAAGCCAGGGCTTGAAAAAGAGTAAATGGCTCAAATATTAGTTCTCTCAGGAAGAAGGAATTCTGCTTATTTCTCCCCATCACCCTTGGCTGTGTAAGGTGGTCTGATTGAACAAAATTTTCACCTAGGGAAGTGCAGCTTTCGATTAAGGGGAAGGAATGGAGAGGCCAAAGTATTTCAGTGCATGAAGTTATCCAAAAGCACGAAGGAGGAGACTCCACCTTGCTGGTAACACTGCAGCAGCTGTAGTTACAGACAGCTAATCCAGGGAAACCTTTAGTTCTGTAAGCTGGAGGATGCTGCCACTGCTCTTCTGCTAGTGCAGATAAAGTAGTCCCTGATACACTTTACATTTAAGTATCTAGGTTAGAAAGTACAAAACAAACCAAAAAAAACCACCCACAACCCCAACTATCTGTTTAGGTTGTTCAAAACAAGGCAACACATGGCCCAGAAAGTCACTTCCCTGACCTGGCAGTATTTGGAAGCTGGCATATACTCCTGGCTAAGCAAAGAGCCCACCAGAACACACACAACCACACTCGCCAGATGAAACACAAGTGCAGCTGAGATCGTTCACAGCTTCCCAGCCCTCCGGCTGGGACCTACTGCCCAGGAAATTTCGGGATGGGAAAGCTCCTGCAGCCTTCTGAACACCACGCAGCTGTGGGGAAGTAGAGAGGGAGGAGAACGTGCCTCTGTAGTCACCTCTGCCAGGTCTCAGACACACAGCCAGATCCTTACAGTCTGAGACTCCGTGCACTCCAGCTGGGCTGCGCTAACTCCTGAACGCGTTCCGCACTGCCCTACGGAGAAACGGATGCAAATCCCTCACAGCTAGCATTTCATCTTGCACCTGATGAGCATTTATCATTTGGCACCAGCATCTACAGTGACAGACTGTGACAAACACCTAGTGAGCCACTGCTCTCTAAAGCCACGTCATGACACGCTCGCTCCTCCTGGAGCGCCGTGACGGCACACCTGCTAGCTGG